CCCCAAAACCCCAAAACCCCAAAACCCCAAAACCCCTCAGAGTTTAATATTAATAGAATTGATATAAAAATGAATTTCATTTCGTCAAAGGATTCTATAATGAAACGCATCACAGAGACTCAGCATCTAAGAAGTAGTTTTGCTGAACCTTTGTTACCACTAAACTTGATCAGTGTGAGCAAAAGAGTGAAATAAATCTCCCTCACCAACCTTCAACAACTCTAGAATGACTTCTAAACCAAAAACAGTCATAAGAGATTCTTCTGTGATAATTAGAGGAGACAAGAATAAAATCACCCATTTATAAGTTTTAAGAAAAGAGCATCTCCATCGAAGAAAGTAAATACTTCTTTAGCTAGCCTTAAGCAGAAGAGACCAAGCACTATTCTAGAGACACTTGGGGGCAAAATTGGTCGAAGAATGAACCAAGAGATGTCAAAATAAAGAATCTTCTTTTATCCTTAATAATGTCAAAAGAGCAATTCATACAAGAAAGAGCAGCCCTACTTATGCGAATAAGTCATTCGATGCAGGATGGGTACCTTCAAAGTTTGTCGACAAGTCTAATCGGAAATCAAAATTTGTTCCCACAAAAAGGTCTGGGTCAAATTTATACAATGAACCGTCACCTAAATCCAAAAGGAAAAATGCTGACAAGCTCAAGCTGCAAGAAAAGAGTATCAGAAGAGAGTACGAAGAGAAGATGAATACCATGAAAAAGAGATATGAAGATATGATATCGACTTTAAAATCTACCCTCAGTCAAGCTTTGAAAAATAAGAAAGAATCAATACAAAGTAATAAGGAGAAAACTAGAGAAATTGTAGTAAAATAACACCCAAAAATTAGTTCACAAAGCACAGATTAGTAGCTTAAGGAAGAAAGTCAGTATAATCTCCAAGAGTAATGGCAATGGCCAGATTGCAAAAATAGTATTAGAAAACAACCGTTTGGCGATGCAGCTAGAAGATGTGACTATGAAATTGCAAAATGTTACAGAAAACCTGAGGCTTGCACAGAAAGAATTACATAGTCTTAAGTATTATGAGACCAAGCATCATAATATTGATGTTAGCGAGATGCATAAAACTGTGAGAAACCTTGAAAATGAGTTAGAGATGTATAGGAAAAAGAACGCTCCTCAAAAAGGAGTCAAATTTACCAATAAAATCTGAACTGTGTGAAAGAGCCAGATTGATAAATACAGTAACAGAGTCAAGAAAATAGTTGTCCAAGGAGGAAGAAATAGAGACCATGCTTACCCTGCCAACGTCTTTCTTTCTAGTGATGAAGAAGAGGACAGAAAAGAAAAACGAAAAGTACTAATTGATCAACAAGAGGGCATCATGAAGGAAGTCTTAGGTGAACTCAAAGGTTATACAGTCGATGTCGAAAGTTTCGGACAAACAGTATCTATCAAAGACTCTGAAGATGACGATGGCGAACCTTTTCTGATCATGAAAATTAGTCCACCTAATGATAAAGAATCAGAAAGGTTTCTCAAGAAGTATTTAGCACTTTCTAATAGTAAGAATGATGAAAAGCTCGAGAGGCTAAGTGATAGTGACTTTGATAGTGAAGGTGAAAAGCTAATTAAACCAGGAGATTTATTAAGGGAAGCACAAAGTCCTAGCCCAACATCAGTTAATCGATTTCTAGAACCATCATTAGGAATTAAACGTCGATTAAAAAGGCCAAAGAATATATTTGCTAAGAGACCAAGCCAGAAATTTGATTTAAGAGATGATATTGAATCTGCTATTCTTGAAAAAGGAAATGCTTCTGCTTTGCTTCAAAATAACTTCTAAGATATTCAATATTTAATTACAAGAATGGGGTTTTGGGGTTTTGGGGTTTTGGGG